TATATTGGACAAAAAGTGTTACCCCAGCTAACAATTGTATGTGCTTCATCAAACACGATCCTTTCTATTTCTTTTTTCTCAATCATGGGCATGTCAGTGCTGTTGAATTCTCCTTCCTTGAGCATTTCAGGTGTTCCAAGAACAATCTTAAATTGTTTTATATTCAACTGCTGGCTGTATTGTAATTCCTTTGGAACTTCTCCAGTAAATTTACATGCTGATATGCAGAGATTATGACATCTACCAAGCACGTCATCTATTAGTGACAATGTGGGAGAAACTACCAAAGTGATATTGGAAGAAATTACAGCAGGTAAGAGATACATCAAAGTCTTACCACCACCAGTTCCCACGACTGTCATAACATTTTCTCCGTTCATCGTTGCCATTATTGTCTCTCTCTGCAGTGGCCGAAACGATGTGAAACCAAAATTTCAATGGTCTTCGAAATCTGTTCGTATTCAGCAACATAAATTTCTTGAAGACAAAAAGCAAATTTTGTGGCAGCCCCAAATGTTGAAATTGCTCTAACCACCGACTCTATTTGGCATCCTTTCACTGTAAAATTCGATGCTATATTAGGCCGCAATGGAGGAACAGCAGAAAGTTTTTCAAGCGCTTCAAGTAAGAGTTTTTCTTCGAGTGCCGCCATATTTACTAAATGCAAAAGCTTCCTTTGTCTACCCGGGAGAGTATTTAATTTCGCCTTACACACCACCACCACTTAGTGAGTTTTTAGTATGCGCGAGACACATGCGGAGAACTGATAGACCATGTCGATTTTTGGCAGGCAACTCCCCTTCCTTTCTCTTCCCCGCCTCGCCCCTTTCCACCTTTCCCCCGACCCAATCCCCTTAATTTTATTACTACTCGGCCAAAACAACATTAATTCGCCGTTCGCGACACTATTGCTCTTTTTTGATGGGGATTTTTCAAAAGTTTGGGATGCCACAAGAGTTGCCTGCAGAGGAGGCTAGTAAAATATATCAACAAGAATAGTATAATCTAGATAGATAGATAGATAGTTTATTTAAAAGAAAAGTTACATAGCAGCCAACTGGCTGAATTGCATAATTTGAATATTACAAGTGTTGGAAATGTCAAAAGTTAAACTATGTAATGATTAATATATATTACAATAAGAATACTCAAACTAGGAACTAAAAAAAGTTAAAATTAGGTCTTAGAGTTGGAAGTTAGAGTTCCTGACATCTGTTATTTAAGGTGGTTAAACCGCCAATTGGCCCATATTAGCATCATAGGTTTTACTCGGGTCAATGATTGATAATGCTCTCTTTTGTACTCTCTCAATATCAGCACTCGAGTACTGGGGCAATGCGCACCAAGCAATCAAATGACAGATTAAAAAATCTTTTGTCTCATAGACAAATCGGATTTACAATCGAAATACGTTTGGGGCCTATTTATTTATTTTAATGCATATTTTCATTGTTTTAAACAGGTTCTTATTTTTAATAAGCGACTGCAACGGTCAGTAGCAATTCATTATTGCGGTCAATCAGGTGGAACTGGAGGTCATTATTCTTAAAATAATAACTTCCTTTTCTGCCTCAATGACCCTAATAATAACCTGCTGTTCTATCTCACTGATGTAGAACAAAAAACACTGTAAAATGCATTAAATTGGATAGTGCACAAACTCCTCGGCCTTCTTAAAAATAATGACCTCGCGCACAAACTCCTCGGCCTTCTTAAAAATAATGACCTTGACCTTGCACTATATATAGGCCTGATCGCAGATTATGGCGATCACGACTTTTGAGTGATATTTATAAATTCTCATTTACTTCGGGACACTTCGGCACTTCACGCCAAATTGTAATTTACCGTGCGACATGGCATGCTGCTTCACAGCCATTAAATAAACTAAAATTTCAGAAAATATTTAAGAGGGTGTCCATGAAAGAACCATGCAAGTGGTGATAAACGTCAACTCACAGAATTTGCTCAAATTTGGCACATATATAGAGGATATTAAGTATCTGATCTGATAAAAGTTTGAGGTAAAAGTATTGCACGGTAACGGAATTATCCACCCCCCATGATTTTGGGTCGTTTTTGGCTCCAAAAATGCCCTTTGCTAAGTAATATTTAGTACATTATAAAATTATAAAAACACACTCAAATGAAATGATATTTCGGCCGCTAAACTAAAAGACACACAGCTTTCATAATATGTAATTGTTTATGTCATCCACTAGGGCTAGTTGTCATGGCAACACCAAAAATAAGAGACAGTTTTTTCCATTTTTCGTTAAATTTTTTTTTGGACCATTTTGAGAGCAAATATCTCCGTTGAACAACTTGATTGAAGTATAATTGACACACAGTTATTAAAAGCTGTCCATACACTTGGTTAAACAACAACAAAAATTTGGGGATATTTAATACATTTCTCACGGCCAGGCAACAAATATACCCTATGTTGAACATTTGCATAATGTTAAAAAAAATTCACTACACAGAACAAACTGCTTAACTGTAAAGTCCGTATACAATTACTCATCAGACATGCAAATAATGTCATTAAACAACATTGAATTATCTGACAAAAGAATAATGAGCAATTTTACAAGCAGGAATAGAAGAAAAATTAAATAATATATTAATGTATCATGCACATCAACGGGACCGAGTAACAACGATATAAATATAATATTCTTTATAAATGCACTGACTGAAAAATAGATATATAACATGAAAAACGTAAAACTAATACTCACATAGACGATTTGTTCTGATACTTGAAGCAGTGTGAGGATAGTTTATATACTACCTAAAGTCCTAATACTACAACAGCCGTTTCGATGTATTTTGAAATATATTATATAATTGCTATATTTACATATCTTTTCCAATGCTTTCCTTTTGCTATTAAACTAATCCTGATAATTGTGATTGAAATAAAGGAGAAAGGGTTATCTCAAGGCAAGCAAAATTCTTTTAAAGAGCTGTCATGAACAAATCAACTGAAAAGGCCGCCATCTTGGAAAATATTTTCTCAGTCAGCGGGTTTCCTCACGATAGTTTGGTATATACTTCGTGTGACCCCTATTATTATGTATCAGGGCTGATACCTGACCCCCACCCTAACCCCGCCTCTAACCCCGTGTTATATAAATATATTAATTACGTGCAACATAATTGTTTTAATTCTTGATTTTTTTATTCTGTTGGTTCTATGTTTTGAAACTGCATCTTAAAGGGGCCCTACAGTCATTTTTTAGTCGAAAAGCCACCTTAAGTATTGTTTACATTTTTTGTTATTGTCGCTACTTGACATGCGCACCACGGCATGCATGTGTCTTCCGGTGTGCGGAAATACTCATACTCATGGATACGGCATGTAAGTTACAGCCAAACGTATCTCCGTGGAGTCCCCTACTTAAGGTGTCTTTTCGACTAAAAAAATGACTGTAGGGCCCCTTTAATGAAAGCTTAATAACTTGGTCAAAAAATTGGGATAAGAACTTTGTATTATGTATATTCTATTTTAAACTAGTGAATGTCAAGAGCCAAAAGTAAATTATGTGATCATCCATTGCAAATACGTTGTTACAATTCCACTTCTTCTCTTACACACTCAAGCAAAGAATATCGTCTTATCTCTTCTTCAATCATTTCGACTTCCTCGTTTTGTTCTTCTTCGTTATCATCAATTAAGATACCTTAAAAAAAAGATATTGCTGGGGTTCTGATATGACTTCCAGCACCTTTGCCGCTGCCTCGCGTTAACCTTCTGCTTTTATGCATGTTTTTTGGGTTTTTTAGTTGTGCTTACAACTTTGGTCGATTCTTATTTTAGAGGTGGTGGTGGTGGTGGGGGACATATCTGAATTTGCGCTGATATCATATAATATGTAATTATGCATGTGTTGTTTTTAATTTGTTTGTAATATGTAAGTTTTGTTAATTTTACGCAATTCAGCCAATTCGGCTGCCATGTAAAATCTATTAAACTATCTATCTATCTACCTTTCCTTTGTAGGACACTTAGACGGGAGAAGTAGTTCTTCACTTGCTGCACTGATAACCATTCAGACCTATCAAAAACTTTCTTCTTTCCATTTCTCATACATCTTATTCAAGCTGCCACTTCCTTTGGGTCTGCCTTTATTCCATTTTTCTCTCCATCAATGAATGTTCTCAGGAGTAAATCTTTTATTGGCTTTGAAAAACGTACCTTACCGGTTGACCTTTTCAATGCCCACGCCATTTTAACAGCTACAGGAGATTGATCTGCTTCACCTGTTTCCTCTTTTAACTCGCCTGTAGAGTGTTTATTTGTTTCAGTATGAATACCAACCGTAGTACACTTTGATGCCCACTTTTGCTTTACGATATCGTACGCGCTTTCCGTCTGTAAACGGTACAAGTGTTTACCAACATTGAGATGCCTTTCAAGTGTGCCATTAGAAACAAATACTTTGACACAAGAAACGTCTGGACAATTGAATCCCTTCGATGTATGCTGGGTCGGAACATCATCTTTATCGCGCTTTTCTTGGCACTGCTTCACAGTTGTTTTCTTGAGCAAACTAGAGGTGTGCGAATCCGATCCGAGCGGATTCGGACAGTAAATTACTCGGATCGGATCGGATTTCGTTTTGTTTCTGTCGGATCGGATCGGATTTTGCAGGTTTTTTGTCAGATCGGTTCGGATTTGATTTTTCTTGTATCACGTCGAATTATTCGAATATTTTTACAAATTGAGAAAGTTCTATATTCTGCAGCTGTATTCCACTTTTTACGTTACAAATGGCATCAGAATTCACAATGGCTTTGAGCATAAAAGTAATTCCATAATCCATATAGTCCATACAAACTACAAACTACAAAGTCAAAGTAACGTTTTGCTCGCTCGCGAAATCGCGATTCGCGAATAACGAATGCCATTATGCCACCCAATCTCCCCTCGGGCCTCGGCTATTCAAATCGTATCGCCCCTGATGATATCGCCCTGCAATTTTTATCGGATTCGTATCTGTTTATTTTTGCTAGAAATTCATTATTTCCAATATATCATTTATGATCATGAAAAAATACGTTCATAATAATTAACGCACGCTGTACAGCGTACACAACTTAAGTTCGGATCGGATCGGATTACGAATTTTAGCATCGGATCGGATCGGATTTTATAAACATTGTTTCGGATCGGATCGGATCGGATTACTTTTTTCATCTTCGGATCGGATCGGATTCGGATTGAGAACTTAGACAAACCATCGGATTGAGAGAGGTCAATCCGATCTGACGCACACCTCTAGAGCAAACCCTTATCATTTTCCGAGATAGTGTACGATTCTTGTGATATTAAACCTGTTGCTCCTTGAGTACATGCCATCTGCTTAATATCTGCTTTCTTGATCAACTTTCCTTTGCCAATTTTGTACGCCTTCCACACTTTAATTCCTGATTTCAGAAATTCAAAGTTGTTGAACAGTGTTATTCCTGTCCACTTGTGCTTTGCGATTTGCTGTTTGGTTCTGCTGATACTAACCACCGAAGCTCTGCACCCTTTGACGCCGCCGTAGGAATCAAGAGCTTTCTTCATATCAGATGCAGTGTTGATGTTGTTCCCTTCATTTAAAAAATGGCGTATGTGGCTTTTCACGCATGCTATTCGTCTGTCACAGATATCTTTTCCAGGTTGTGCATCACTGAAGTCGTACCGCCTAATTTCAATCCCAGTTCGTTTGGAAATCCCTGGAATAGAAAGCATTAACGGAGCAACAGTGATAACATCCTGCATTATCGGATCTAAGAAATGCTTCGGAAATTTCGGGATAGCTTTCTTTTAAATTTGACAAGACATCTGCGATAATCGATGCCACTGAGAACCAATCTTGCGTGCAATTGTCGAACAAATGGAAAAATGTTTTGACCTATTCTTGCAAAGAAAAAATATTTAAACTCCAATTTTCTCGTGTGTCAAACTGATGAAACTCTGTTGCCAACTAAGCTCTGTGCAAATTGAAAACACAAAAACAGGACATACTTATACCTCAAAATCTTCATCTGGTTTCTTGAATATTGCGGCACAAACATGCCAT